CAACATTCATCTAGTATTAAATGAGATGAGCTTCCAGCCCAGCTTTCTAAGCGCTTGGGGGCTCTGCGCCTTAACAGAAAATACATCGCAAGAACCTTCAAAACCAGAGCAAGCGTGTAACTAGGTAACTGGTTGATTGCAAAAGCGCATGAGTCGAAGCCGCCTTCTGACACGTAAACTATGTTGCGACTGGGCGTAACTTTTAAAGCCGGTAAAGCCGTGGCGGGATCTAGTCGGACGGCACCACTAGAAGGTCTGGTAACGATAAACCGGGCGGCTTCACGTGGACTGATGAGCTGAGTGAGACTATACTGACCGGTACCAGGGAGCACCAATGATGAACAATCCTCCGCCGCCCCCGTTCTGCTTACGAGGCGTGGGTCTTGGCAGGGCGGACAAACACCAGTACAAATATATGCATAGATGGCTGCTATGAGATCTTTCAGAACGCTCATACAATCCGTGGAGTTCATCATCATGTTCGGCTTCTTCTCTACAAAGTACAAGCATCGCAAACGCCATCCGGTAGATGACGATATCACAGCATCGGAACTACAAAACCTTACCCACATGCAGATGCCGCACTCCGAACCTTTGAACAAGTCCAGAATTACATTCACCAAAGGTTGGAGATTCGGCGCCCTCAACTGCGCGATCGCAGCCTCCATAGTCTTTCTCACAAACCTGATCGCCACTATAGCATGGGCCACCAATACTGATAGCGGTGAACTATTCAGAGGGGACTGTGATCGTGCGCGCAAAATCAACGCAGTACTTCATGTCATCATCAACTTGTTGAGTACAATACTGTTGTCTTCATCGAATTACGTTATGCAGTGTCTATCCGCTCCAACCAGAACGGAGATCGACGTCGCCCATTCTCGAGGACAGTGGATGGACATAGGTGTCCTAAGCGTTCGAAATCTACGTCGCATTAGCAAGAAGCGCGTACTTCTTTGGTCAGCTCTAGCGCTCTCATCACTACCTCTACATCTCTTGTAAGTAATAGATGGATGCAAAACCCTATTCTAGACTAATATAAGCAGTTATAACTCGGTCGTGTATCTGTCTCTTGCAGCGTACAGCTACGAAGTTTACGGCGTTAGACAAAACTTCGTCGACAGCCCAGAATGCCTAGGATGTACGAATCTCATCAAAGGTGCCGACTTTGCTTTCACTCGGGAGATACACCAAAAGATCCAAGAAGACCGCTTCCAAAGGCTTGACAACATTGATTGTATCGATGCGTATGCAACAACCTTGCAAACGCATAGAGGCGATCTACTTGTTGTAGCCAAGTCTGATGACATTGTGTGGGGAAACCAAATCGATAATTATAGGACAGACGATGACTACCTAAATAACGAAAACTCGGCGGTTTTCTGGACATACTCGCTCACGAGTGGTTGGGAGTATGTCCCACAGGATACTTTTCAGTGGATTTGTTCGAACCATCCGGATGCGGACCCGAGTTCACGAAACCCAAAGTCCTGCGACGCGGTAGTAGATGAGATCAGGAATTCAGCACAGAACTGGACCATATCAAGCATGACCGAACATAGCCCGAGTGCGTTTGGATTCTACTACATGAGAGGCCCCATACAGTACTGTTTGCGAGAAAGGAAGGAGTCAGAGTGTCGAGTTCTGTGGAGCGTTCCTATCGCATCCTTGGTGACAGCGCTGAATTTCATCAAGGCCATATTGATTTTCCATGTTGCTCTTCGCATCCGGGAGCAGCCACTCATGACAATGGGTGACGCTGTGGTCTCTTTCCTGAAACAGCCGGACCCATGGACTCGGAATATGTGCCTCGCTTCTTCCAAGAACATCGAAAGTGCGAGAGACAATTTCATTGCTGGACCGAAAAGATGGACACGTCGTACGTATAGATGGAAGGATGCTACAAGCCTAACCCGTCGTATTAGCACTTTCACTGTGTAGGTGCGCACGCGTCATTCTGGCATCACAAAGTTCACTAACATCCCCCAGGCTTCTGATCTCAATAGCAACCATAGGAGGATTTCTTTCCTACGGATTACGTTATCTCCGGTCTGGTAAAAGTCACTCCCTTCGCAATCTCGCTGCGTTGGGTTTTGGTGCCATCGACGCTCGGACACTAATCGAGTATCCACGTGAACACAATGTCGACTCCATAATAGGCAACACTCTCATAGCCAACGTGCCACAGGTTGTGCTCTCGATCATCTACTTCTCATACAACAGCCTGTTGACGTGTATGCTGCTAGGAAAGGAATGGTCTTCGTATTCATACGTTCGAAAGGGATTGAGGGTTTCGAGCGCCCCGAGAGGGTTGCAAAGATCGACATACTTCTTATCGCTACCGTATCGGTTTGCAGTACCACTTATGGCAATCAGTGGATTGCTACATTGGATGATATCACAAAGCATCTTCTTTGCCGCCATAGAGGTAGGCTCTTTGCCTGGACATGTTCTGAACTTAGTGTGATAGCTGACGATTACATTAGTTCTATGGGATCGGTGATAGTGTGCCATCAGATGTACGATATACATGCGGCTATTCTCCCATCGCTATGATATCTGGGATCATTGTTGCGAGTCTCCTTCTCATTGTCGGCGTCGGAATAGGATTCGTTCCTTTGCGATCAGGAACCAATCTGGTTGGCAGTTGTAGTGCAGCCATGAGCGCAGCTTGTCACTTGTCAGCCGCTGACAAGGAAAGAGGTGATGAAATTGCCGTTAAGAAGTTAATATGGGGTGTTGTTGAAGTACAATCAAATGGAGCGGGGCATTGTTCCTTCTCCGACGAGGCCGTGGAAAACCCGAAAGAAGGCGAGCTATATGCTGGGCCGTGTGGGCAGGTTTCTCCACAGTGACCGAAACGATGAAATATATGGTACTACAGAGGATAGTTGAGCAGAATTGGGTAGTTGCTGGAAAGGTGTCTTCGTAGCAAGAGGGATGGTGCCATTGCGCTTTGACTATCTTTCGGATGCCGAACGGACGGATTAGCTAAGCGGACCATAACCATCATCATCTCCACCTTTCGGAAGCGGGTCCGGCTACCAACCACCCTGTTTCGGCTCATGACTAGCACATACACGCGACGCACTAAATGATGATTTGCAACGTCATTGAAGCCATAGCAAAGAAAGCGTCCACATGATGCCCAGGTGCGGATCAGCATTGGATGCGGGGTCCGGATTGACCTCGGTGTACAATGCCCCATATATCAAGCTTCTCCAAAGTAACTTTGAAGTCTTTTGTAGAGTAACATCTTCTAACCTACGATAGCAGAAGTATTGATACAGTGAACATGGCGAAACAAGAGTACAAATTCCCGGCGTTTGACGACCTTCCCAAGGTCGAGGGTATGCCACAGGGCAGCATATGGGGATTCTTTGACAAAGACGGGCAAAAGGATGAAGTCGGAAGTAAAGCAAATTGTACCTCATACAGCAATCGTGTATCTAACAGGCTACAGCTATCAACCTGCTCACCTCGGATGTCGTAAAAGCGGCCTCCAAAGAGATCTCCACCGGCGAGCACATCCAGCTTGACTGGGAATTACACAACGTGCAATTTCCAGGGTTCAACAGAAAAGAGCTCGAGCAAAAGCAAATCGATTTTGCGGACTTCTCCGAGTTCTGTGCGAACGATGACGAACTTCACATCAACACTCAGGCTGGTTCTCAGTGGGATAGCTTGAAGCATTTCGCGCATCAAGCAAGCGGCATGTATTACAACGGTCTCTCGCATAAAGAAGCAGCCAACAGCGTCACGAACGGTACGCACAAGTGGTGCGAAAGAGGTGGCATTGTTGGAAGAGGTGTGCTTTGCGACTGGCTTAGTTGGTATGAAGAGAAGAACGGGAAGAAGGCACCAAGTGCGGTGTCGAGACATGAGATTCCTATCGAGGAGATTGAAGAGACACTGAAGTGGCAAGGCACCACTTTGAAGCAGGGAGACATTATGATGATTCGTAGCGGATACGTAAGATGGCACAAGTATGTTGTCTTGCCACTTTGAGAGCCATAACTGATGATACTAGCAACGCGAACGAAGCGGAGCGCAAGAGCGGTACTCGCGACCATAGTGTCGCGATTGGTGTTCAAGCCAATGAGAAGACAGTACGTTGGCTCTACGACCGTCACCTCGCGGCGATCGCTGGTGATACTGTCGCTTTTGAAGCATGGCCACCAAAGTTTACCGACGGATGGTGCCTACACGAGTGGCTCCTCGTTCATTGGGGTACCGCTATCGGCGAGATGTGGGATCTTGAGAAGCTCAGTGAGAGATGCAAGGAGATGGGCCGGTACACCTTCTTCATGACAAGTGCTCCATTACATGTTAGGGGTGGTATTGGAAGTCCACCTGGAGTTATCGCCATCTTCTAGGCGCATTCGGTCACCGTTGCTTTCGGAACTGTATCAACGTTGTTTCTGTGTATACGATAGTACCCCTATAAAGGAAACCTGTTATCAACAACGTTCGCAGGCTAGCATCGATTCCCGCGAAGATATTGCCGTCCACTCCGTTTTCGTGATTAGCCTCATGTTGACATATTGCCCAAAACTCCCTTAACCATGTTAGCCATTGAGTCTGACGATGCTCGGGAAGACAAATTGAGGTGCTTGAACATCCAGAATTACTATTACCACAACGAAGCGGACGGAATGGGTGTGGTAGGGTGTTCGCGTGTCGCGAGGCGTATTGGCGCGTATTCTCTTTCGTTACGCGACCCACAGACCAGCACGAAACGACCAAGCATGGTGTTAAAAGATGCCGCGCGGCGCTGCGCCTCTTGTAGTAATGCTTGAGAGAGATAAGAGAACGAAAGAGTTGAATGCGAAGAATGTGCCGAGTCAGGATGTGTATATAGTAACGGCGCGCAGTCGTGTCTTGAAAGGTATCTTCATTCGCTCCATCATCTTCTACATCTCCGTACACATTCTGTCTTTAATCTATTGTTTTCTGCTTTCCAACACTTTCCTTGGCTGTTATCGACCCAAAATCCGCAGATGGCGTCTCACGACATCATTCCTAGAGGCGAAGCCGACTTCGATCTTTACCCTTACACGCCCTCAGCAGGCGCCGGCTACACGTTTCTCATACTATTCGCGATCGGCGGGTTGACGCATCTCATCATGCTCATTCCATTACGAAGTTGGTTCTTCATTCCATTCGTTCTGGGCTGCGTAGGTCAGTTGCCTTCGTGCTTGAACCCTCTACGCAAAGCACATCGCTGATATTTTGATCCACAGGCGAAGCAGCAGGCTACTACGGTCGCGCCTGGTCGTCAAAGAATATCCGACAAGGCAGCCCTTATCTCCTTCAACTCATGCTTATCCTCGCGGCCGCACCACTTCTCGCAGCCACCATCTACATGACGCTCGGTCGTCTTGTTCGCGCTCTCGATGCTACGCACCACGCTGTAATGAGCCCGCGCTGGACTACGAAGATATACGTCATCATCGATATCGGATCCTTCGTATGTCAGATCATGGGGTCGGCGATGCAAGCTTCCGGTGACCCAGACGGAGTGAAGACTGGAACCACCGTTGTCATCGCAGGATTGGGTACGCAATTGGTTGCTTTCGGCTTCTTCATCCTAATGGCGGTGGTGTTTCATCGGAGGTTGAATAACGAGCCCACTAGCACGTCACGGCGAACACATGTCAAGTGGCGCCGCTACATGTGGGCTTTGTACAGTGTCAGTGTGCTTATCGTTGTGCGGAGCATTTTCCGGTTGGCGGAGTTTATTGAAGGGCCAGAGAGCAAGGTGTATCAGACAGAGGCGTACTTGTATGTCTTCGATGCGGCGCTCATGTTCGCCGTGGTGGTTATCATGGCGGTCTTTCATCCGGGGTTTCTGTTCAGAGTCGTCAGAAAAGCTGAGTTGATGCCACTTAGTGATGACGAGGGGAATGGTAGCTATTTACTACGCGGAGATGGTCCAAGGTAGTTCCTCTGGGTGGATGAACAGACGTACAGTATCTAGAAGGTGGTAGCGTAGACAGTAGAATGCCACTCTCCTTGGCCGTTTTGTATACCGGGTTCCAACCAAACACCCGAGAATTAATCAAACAGCTTACCAAGCGCTTAATTACTGCCAGTGTGATAATCAACTGAGTGATCCCGAATGCAGATATGGTATCAATGGCGTCAATGTTGTGGTCATCTTGGCGAAGAGAGATTAGAGTGAATTATCGGCCGCAAAGGTTGCGACAGCAATGAAGGGTCAAATACTGCCCCAAATCCATCACGAGCTTCTTAGCTCACCTTGGCGGTAACGCAGAGTTCCGAGGGATATAAATATAGGGTTGACCGTACCCAGACTCTCACTATCCCGCGCACAATCTCTACTCCACAATGTCGATATACATGATGTCGGGCTCACATAGTTCCTACACGCCACCATATCCTAATCAGTACTATGCCTCCCTACCTCCGCGGCCCCAGGATGCCGCCTTCAATAGCCCAGTGCAAAGTTCCGTCAAGGCCTTCAATGTCCCAATCTCTGACCATACCCTTGAGTACCGAATTTTAGAGCTGCTACAACCTTTTCGGGACGCCGGCAGTCTCTTGAACGCCACTAATGAAGCCAAGAACATTTTATTGCTGGCTCGTAAGTACAACTGTCCCTGAGTCTTTTTTGGGCCATCATTCTTCTAGGGTATCGTTGTCGATACTTGAAGTCGGTTGTGTTGCACGCGCAATCCCACCACTGGCCATTTCTTCTACCCATGTAAGTCACAAAGCTAAGAGATCTGTCAGAAAATATCGCCTCCATCATTGTCAGCAAACAGTCCAAGGATCTCTCCAAGGTGGGAATAACCAATTTGTATATCATGAGCCGCAACTTGAACGCCACCACAGTCAACGGTACCGCAGCCAGCGGTCCGGCGTATCTCCGCATCTTCGTCCATATCGACTACCAATCGATTACAGTTGTTAAAGCGAAGATCGAGAACGGGAAGAACGCGATCGGTGCGCTTATCGACGAGGTGGACAAGGTCATCGAGAGCCTCATGGAAGACTCATAGTGGTTGTTTGAGGTATGCATGTCGTCGGGTGGTCGAGAGGAGAAGGAGACGAATTTTGGCGCCCGAGTCCACGGGTGACTGCTACATCGCTGGATAGCTCCTAGTCAACTTCAGGGCTTTGTAGAAACTGCTATATTGTGTAGATAATGGCTGGTCGGCGTCTGCAGCAATCAAAGTACTCCCCTCTTCTGTCCACGGTCGCCTCGCCTTCTTCTGGGCTGTAACCCAGGTATGATCCGCCTGCTTGACACTTCCAACATACTTGTACGACAGCATGTTCGCATCAAGTACACGCTGAGAACCCTAAAGACACAAACCTTCCCGAGCTTAAGCAATGCGGCCATGCAAGGCATAGACTTTAGGGGCAAGTTCTTTGACGTTGAGACGACACTACGACGCTAGTAGGGATAGCCGGTGCGGCTATGGTGTGGTCGGACACATCGTTGACTTCTGAACTAACCCTCCGATGGTTCGTGCATTTGACAACTTTGTACATGATTGATCGGAACGTTCCGAGCACAGGGACAGGAGCAAAATGGTATCTCAAACTTTTAGTAAGAGCGTTTTGTAGGTTGAGGCACAAGTAGCGCCTGACAGGCTCAGTGGATCGGCTGATCTACGCCCTAGCACGCAGGCACGTCGACCAGTTCTGTACAAGATCGGTCAGGGCGGGCAGATCTGAAGGGAGAGCGCTTCCAGGATTGGCCTTGTCTGGAATTTCCCGGTTTCCGCACTTCACGTGCTGGGGTCGGAGCCGTCTGATGCGTGTGTGGCGCGCACGAACTTGGGAACATGAGGGCGACGCGCCAGCAGGACCCATTGAAGTAGACGGGCGGCGAATGAGCAGGCGCCCCACGAGATTGCATCGTGAACTCGAAGATGGACGTCGTCATCGTGCGAGCGGTGTGGCCGGCGGTACTCGCGCTAGCAAAAGGCCAGCCGTCTAGCGTGTCGCCAATTGGTATCCCTCCATACCCAGGTGTGGCGCAACGAACTAGACAGAGCGACAGGAAAGGAGAGCATCACGGCCTCCGCGAGGGGGTGAGAAGGCGTGTGCAAGCAGGAAGTCCGCAGGAAACGGGGTTGTCTGATACATGCAGGGAAGAGTTTGCTAGGCTGGGCGGCGCCACACTTCGCATCAGACGGAATCGAGATTGCCAGGTGTGGCGCTGTCGAATTACCCATGACGCAAGCGGGACACATGTTTTGGCATCCTTTGGGAAACCTGGCGCCGATCGAACCCCCAAACATACCTAGAGGCTCCGTCATACAGGCCAGGGCGACCTCGTTTGGGCGTGGCAGGCCTCCTGCCCCAGGCAAAACGTGGACAGTTGTGGCATTGGACGGCACATCGTCAGGGAACTGGGCCGCCGCGCTCTGTGAGCGTGTCCGCGGAATTCGATCGCTGGCAGCGGGAAAATGGTGGCCGGTAGTCGCGGGGTCAGGCAAGTTGGTCGTGGTCGGTCGCTGTTCCAAGTCCAGGCTCTTCGCAAGCGGCAAGCTACGACGCAGTGACGTAGTTGCTGCAATCGCGCGTGTTACCCAGCCAGCCCAAATACAAAGCTGCTTTCTGCCCTCACCCGCCTCCCTCCCACACGAACCACTTTGATACCCATCCCCTCGAAATACCCATCCACCCTACCTCCATTGTTTTCAGCTCTGCGTCTGCATTTTGATACCCCACCTTGATACCCACAGAAGCAGTCCTACACCATGAGTTCCGTAAATCGTATGTCTAACTACCCCGCTTTGCCCCCAAACATTGCTAACAGACTGCAGGTCCGGTGGACTTGAAGCAGAAGGAGAAGGATGTCAACAACAAGCTACAGCTGTACGGCATCTTCGAGGGTATGTGAACACGTGCAATGGCGCGTCGATGCCCTTCGCGTCGCACACGCAAATGTAAACAAGCGCTGACCACAACTAGCCTTCTCTAACGGAAAGGTCCCCTCCAACCAGCAAATCGATGTCGCGCTCAACTCCGCGCTGGCCCACAGGTCGCTCAACTCACCATCCAAGAAGCTGTCGAGCGAGGGTCAGCATCTGGTGACCGACCTCAAGAAGGTCATCGAGCAGGCCAAGATCCTACTACTCACCAAGAACGAGGGCAACCTCCTCCAGGACTTCATCTGGCAGGCAGAGCACCTCGGTGGCAACAGCGCCGCCCTCCCTAATGCCCCTGTTGATAAGGACACAGCGAAGCAGCACGGAAACGAGGCGCTTGACGGTCTACGGACTCTCGGTACCCTCCTCATTTCCAACGGCCAGTTCAGGAAGCTGCTTTCAGATGCCACCGTTCTGCTCCGTGACATGGCTGGCGATGCCGCCCAGAACACCGCCAACAAGGTCAAGCCCTCAGAAGACCGTCTCAACAAGCTAGATGAGCCTGCTGAGGACAACACTTGGCACGACACCTCCGACCTGAACCGTGAGAACCTTCGCAACCAAGCTAAGAGCAGTCTGCCCTTCGGCAACAAGAACAAGGACGAGGCCAAGGGTGACTTGAAGGAGCATGCCAAAGACATCAACCAGGCTGCCAACCCTGATGGCTCGCGCGACCCCCAGCACACCGCCCAACTTGGCGCCCACGAGGGTCAGACTGGCCAGAGCACTGGCGTCGACGCCCGTGGTGCTCTCGATGCTGCCAAGCAGAAGGTTGACGCGAACACTTCTGAGGAGGACAAGAACATGGCCCGCGCCCGTCGCGACCAGATGAACAACTACCTCAAGGGCAAGATGCCTGAGGAGCGCCGCGAGCAGACCATCTGGCGTCTTAAGAAGATGGTAGTCGAGATTCAGGGCCACCAGGACTACCAGCGTGCCATCGAGACCCTACTCAACCTCGCCGAGCAGTACTCCGGCCATGGTAAGAACCTTGGCCAGCAGGGCAAGGGTTCTGTTCAAGGTGCGCATCAGAACGATGCCCTAACTACTGCTGAAGCTGATCTCAAGGTGCGTATTTAGGCTTCTTCTCGGAAAACAAATGGCTGACCAACATGAAGACTCTTCTTGAGCGTTTCGCAAACAACACCTCGTTCGATGACTTGATTGAGTCCATCAACCAGGTCTACAAGGACGCCGATCAGGATCCAGAGCTCAGGAACTGGTTCACTCGCATCAACCAGTTCATCCGCAAGACTCTCCAACAGCAGGGCTTCATCCTCGAAGACCGTAGCAACGAGGAGTGGAACCAGATCTACGATGATGGTCACCGCCTCCTTCGCGGCCGCTACCGTGGACACACTGACCGCATCGCCGACGAGTTCAAATTCGTTGGCGAGCAGTTCGACGCTGACCCGCAGAACAAGCAGTTCGCTGAGTCTGTCAACAAGCTCTTCCTTGACCTCGGTCAAGATGAGAACGGCCAGACTGTGTTCAAGCCCCACCTTCTCAAGGACCTGAGCGACGTCATCCTCCCGTCTATCTTCGAGAACGTCCGTTACGTCCCCATCCCGCGTATCGAATACAGCGACCCCATGGTCGACGCCGTCGTTGAGAACCTCGTCATCGAGGGTGATAACCTTGCTCCCAACTCTTTGGAGTTCGGCTCGGACAACTACTGGCGCTGGGGACGCAAGTCCATCTCGAGCAAGAACAAGAACAAGGTCATGCTCTCTGTCTCGGGTGTACAGATGGATCTCAGGGATGTTTCCTACTACATCAAGCGCAAGCAAGGCTTCCCATCCATCACCGACAAGGGTGTTATGGACATCTTCATGGGTGGCTCCGGCTTCAGCTTCAAGGTTGAGATGGAGACAGCTGACAAGGCCCGCGAGAACAACGCGCAGACCCACTTCTTCAAGGTCACCAAGGTTGAGTCTGACATTAAGAACCTTCAGATCAAGATGAAGAAGAGCAACCACAAGCTCCTCTTCAACATGTTCAAGCCCCTTCTTCTCAAGGTCATGCGTCCTGTCATCCAGAAGGTCTTGGAGAAGCAGATCAAGGACTCCGCCAACCAGCTTGACGGCCTTCTCTTCGACATCAAGACTGAGGCTGACCGTGCTGAGGCTGAGGCCAAGCGCAACCCCGACCCTCAGAACATTCAGAACATGTACCAGCGCTACGCCTCTGCTATGCAGCACCGCATCATGCAAGGCAAGCAGAAGAAGGAGCAGGTCAAGGAGAAGACCAAGGACACCCAGGTCAACATGGCTGTTACTCAGCACGACTCCATCTTCAAGAACATCTCCCTACCCGGCGGTATCTCTTCCAAGGCTACTGAGTACAAGGAGCTTGCCGGCAAGGGCGAGAAGTGGGAGAGCCCCATCTTCTCTATCGGCTCCGCCAAGGAGACTTCCAGCCTGCCTCAGGTTGGCAAGGTCACTCGCAAGCCCCACGGTCGCGCAGGCGGCTACGGTAGCACCAGTGAGGAGTCTCGCGGTCTTGGAGCCTCGCAGGGCATCAACCCATCCGCCAACCAGTACGACAGCCAATACACTAACGCTGGTGGCCTCGGCGGTGGTCAAGGCGTTACCACTGGTCAGGGTCTGATGGGTGGTGCTGCTGCTACTGGTCTCGCCGGCGGCGTTCCTTCCACCACTGGCACCCAAGGCTTCGGCACTCAGGTTGACGATGCTTTCAACACCACTGGCACCGCCGCACCTGTTGGATCGTCTGGCCTCGGCTCCACTGGCCTTGGTTCAACTGGTCTGAACGACCCTACTGCCACAACTACTTCAGCAACTCATCCCGCTCACCCCACTGGTGCCCCGGCCCCCGGCGAGTATAACACTACCTTCGGTGACCAGAACCCCGTCTTCCAGGGCCGCGTTTAGATGTTTGTTGGTCGACCAGTGATACCCGATACGCTTGGGGCTGCGAATCATGATTACGACTTTCCTACCTTTTGATCATGGATGATACCACGATTGCGCCACGGCGCACGCGCACATGAGTAGCAAATAGCATGTTTTCTTGGTTCTTCTTTCTTGCTTTCGGCGGTTTATGAGTAGTGTAGGACAATTGCGCCCGTAATGGGGAGATGGTTGCCGGGGCGGACCTGAAGCTGTCAAAAGCTTTTGGTCAACGAAAATTCCTAGTTTGTCGCTATTGCCGTGTTTCCGTAGTAATAGTTAATTAAATGGTGTTTAAAACTACTTCGTCTTTCTTCTATTGAAAATTGTACATATTCGATCGTGGGTTTCTACGGATCTCGCTCGGGTCGCATACTGTGGATTGGACTGTCACGTCACAGTCATGTCAAAGCACTCATGGAATAGATAGATCTTCCTCACCCAAGCACAGTATGACTCTTTTTCGTTTCAGCAAACATCAACATCGGATTTTAGGCCGAAACGAAATTTGGATCGCTGCAGATTCTCAGCCTAATCTCTACCTATACCTATGCCGTTTCAGATATTTCTCTTCCCTCTCAGCCTCCTCTCTCAGCCTCTCCATCTCCTCTTCTAGCCCCGCATGGTCCTGCCCTCTTCCCCTTCGTGGGCGACCTGAAACACTGTCTGCGCCATATGAATCACGATCCCCAGATGGGATACGGTGTCTGACACTTTCTACAGGTTCATCTGCATAGTGGACGCGACGCACGGGTGCTCTTTCGTAGAACCGGTCGCGACTCTGGCTTCGACTTCGGCTAAGGCTCCAACTACCGCTCCGTGACCTACCAGGTCGTGTATATCTGGAATTCAAGTCGACATCACCACCGCGTGTGGACGTGTACCATTCGTCATCGTCGTCGTCAGAGTAATCCAAGAACTCCGTGCGTTGGCGAGTAGTTCTAACAATTGGTCCTTTGATCCAGTCTTCGTCGTCGTCGTCATAGTACCTCGAGCGTGAGCGGGTAGTTGTGTCTTTTGTTGACATACGTCGTGGTGGTGGGTAAGGTGGGATATGAGACATGGGATGACCGTAGATGTTAAGTCTGCTTCGAAGATCACCATCTGCATACGGATCGACATGACTGGTCGGACTGAATGGGTTGAACAGGTCGTTCGAATTGGCGTAGTGACCCTTCATTATGTGGTGTGGACGAGGGCGGACTGGCGCAGCTTCCTTGTAAGGCATGTATGGTGAACTTTTGTAGTCCATACGTGACGATCTTCTGTCGGGTACATGTGGGTATGGATATAGTGATTGCCGGCGTGCTTCGATTGCTAGGGGTGCCGGACTGGAGTAAGAGTTTTGTCCCTTCGCTGGAACACCAGACGAATATGGTTGAGAAAGATATGGGGACTTGCTCATAGGGTGGTCTGGCACATACCACTCGTCAAAATCATCATCGCCATAACTCGCTCTGTACAAATCACGCCGTCGACTAGGGAATGCGTCATAAGCTGCGCCAAACGGGTCAATGATGCTGTCTAAACCGCCCTTGGATTTGGACGGCCCTTGGCGTTGCGCGACGGTTATACTAGCGGCTTCCACAATGTCTCTCTCTTTCCTCATTGTTTTGCGGTACATGGACGATAGTAGGTCCCGTATGCTATCGCCATTGTAACCGATTAGTAGGCAAGAGCCCACGGTGACGCAGGTTAGTGGTATGGCAACGCTCCAGAAGACAGCTTGTGTTTCGTCCATGTCTCTGATGTCAGAGGCATTCATACCGAAATAGCTTGTAACGAATGACAATGGCAAAAAGATGACTGTAACGACAGTGAAGACCATGATAGCCTTTCCATGATCTTCTTCGTTGATCTCCAAGATCTGTTTCGTGCGATCGGAGAGCGGGGCGCAACGTCGCATTAGATCAACGTAATCTAGCCGAACTAGGGAAAGATGATCTAGGCAGGCCCTTCCCAGAGCTTCCTCGTAAGGATGCATAGCCCGACGAGATAGGCTTAGCTTCTCATATGTGCTGTCATCGGTGACCTGGAGATAATTTCGTACCAGATTGGTTTGCCAGGTGTTTACTAACTGTAAGACTTGTAACTCTTCTTGAATCAAGTTGATGGCGCGCAGAAGGCGCTTGCTTGGTCTGTGATTGATTTCGAATTGCTAGTACATGTCAGTAAAGTCTAACAATGTATCATGTCGTATTCTCGCTGCTTTCGAAGCGTGTATAGCTCCTCACTTCTTCTCTCAGAGATGTAGTGTTGAAATTGAATGTACTTACAACCTTGGAGACGTACACATGATACATGTCGCCGATAGTCTTGGACTGCTCGAGAGGCTTCATCAGCAACCTTCTCATAAACCATAGAGACACATATTCTGGTCCCAGGGAAAGATGCTTGCGAAGGTTCAATGGTAACTCGGGTCTACCCATGTCGCAGAACAGAAACCGAGCTTTGCGCAGGGACCGTCGCGCCTGGAATCCAAAGCGTCTGAGTACTTCGACATCTCTCGATGAGTATGGATCGTTTGTAAGCTTGCGAGAGTCCTGAAACCGAGGGGCGAGTCCATACGTCTTTTCATTCTCGTGCAAAGCTCGCTCGATCGCCAGGTAGTAGATCACAATTTTTTGAAATGCGTGAATCAGTTCTTGTGGCAGCGTATACAATGACGATAACTGTCCATCTTCATTCTGAACACCCTCGGCAAGCTCTTTGGTTCGAACTAGAAAGTCTTTGGAGATCTCACTAGCATGTGTAAGAATCACCAAAGCGCTCGCATTCGTCAGTTCGCGCCGGTATTGTACGGAATTGATTATCCAGTCTTGCAGTTCTTCGAAACTCGGTATCTCAGCGTCAGGATGTGCAGTCCCAGCCGAATATTTCTCCACATGTCGCACAAGATGTTTCATTGCAGATGTTGCGCTACTGAATGGGCGTCTGCATCTTCCACAACGCTGAATCGACCTTTGCAGTGTTTTCCTGGATTCTGGGAGTGAAGATGGAACTTCCCAAGCGGAGGTGCGGATGGACCAGATACGGTTGTTTAGCATGTCAGGGTGTTTCCAATCAGAGTTCGTGTATTCCTCTGGGTCGGGCTCAACCGCTCCACGTTGCGCAATGGTCGTTACTTGCTGATGGATGTTTTGCAGTGCGCCCGATAGCTTTCGAAGCATGCTGCTACTATCTAGGTCATCTACGAAAAGACCCAAAGTTTTGCAGACAGTGTCGAGAAACTCGACTGATCTTGTCAAAATCTTACCGCAATGAGTGGTGACAATCATCTTGTGGTTTATGGAACCCGACTCCGGTAGAGGCGTTGCTTTGACAAGCTCCTGTAATTCGGACCGTCGCATGGAAACGCCTTCACATACCGTCTCAGGCAAGGAGTGGTAGTAGTTGGTTGAGGTGAAAGCATCTTCTACAGGACTGGTTGAACGAACAAGAGACCTCGACGTCATGAGCTTCTCCACGTAGTCCAGGCAGGCGATGGACCGGTCTTTCCCGGTGGTACCGAGTACTACCGGCTTCCCACTTCTATGAGAAAGATCGTTGGTCTTGGACTGCAACCAGTGAAAGAAGGGCGGAACACATGTGGGGGAGCCGACAGCCGCTGGTTCTGCGGTTGAAACTTCTTCATCTCTTCCGTCACGAATCTGGTCATATGTAATCATAATGGTGATTGAGACAAGCTGGGCTGCTCGAGAGATAATGTCTTTCCAGTTCCCGGCCCCGGCAATAGTACCTCCATCCACACCCTCGACTTTCAAGTTGATCCCTTCGCCAACAAGGGGCCCCTCGAGAGACGGATTGCTGTGGAGAATTCGCGATTCCAGCTGGAAATAGGATCTGAAATCACCTATGGGATATATGAGGCTGCTCCCGTCGCGATTGTTGATGTGAACCTTGGTCAGAGTATTCTTCGTGATGCTCTGTCTGCCAAGAAGCCTAATATCTTCTTCAACAATGCCGATAGAATTTTTCATCGCTGTAGGCAGGGTTTCGTGTCCGTATGTCACAATAGCAGTAGATCCAATGTTGATGATCCACAGGCTGGGGACATGAACGATGTTATTCATCGGATCATTGCCAAACCTCCTGTATGACTGTTCCTCATCTCTCTCACGAACAGATTCATACGGATACAAAGCCTGCATCAAGGTACGTGGAGAGAACAGTGCATCTTCTTGCCCAGTAGTAGGCTTTGCAACTTGTTGGAGACTGAAGTAAGGGACGCAGCTGAAGATCACGGACTGTGTGTCTGTTGGATCGGATTCGTCGGCTCGAAGAACGGTCCCCGGCTCGATGAACCTGCCGCCTACAAATGGCTTAATCTTTTCGCCTCGCAGTTTCAACAAGATCTCGCGGATAAGGGCCTGTAGGCGGTCAGACAAATGTGGGATAGTGAGGCAGACGTTTTCGAAGCGATCAAAGTCGAGATGACTACCATTGAGGTGGTACCATGTTGTTGCTATGCTTGTTCGCAATCGAGGGCTCGCCAGACTTGGTAGAGTGTGAACTTCAAGCATGTTCTGGGTATCAGACTCGATCGCCACTGCTCTGGTGATTCTCCGTATTTCCAAATTCTTGTCTTCCGGTTCCTTCTTCTCTGTTCCCAGGCCCTCCTTGTTTTCGGGTTTATCAGATTCTTCACTCAAGGCGATGCTGCTGCTCGAAGGCTTGGTCCGCACCTGAAATGAGAGTCTGTTGCCCTCGATGTCCACTGGATGCATCGCATAGCGGTTGGGCTGTAGAACTGGGGGATCTCTCCGAGGCGTATCCTCTTCGCTGCTCAATGACCATGACTCTCTCTCACTGAAGTCTTCTGTGATGATACTGCTTTCTGATTCTTCGGGGGTTAAGACCCGGCGCGGGAGCTCAAATCTGAGCGCCAGTTCGTTTCTAGAACTAGTCGTCCCAGGCTCTACACGTGAAGTGCTTTGTGGCTGGGGTCGTGACGGTCGCCGGGAATTCCTCCATGAGCGACCATCGTTGCGCGTGGTAGTGGGTTGCTGATGCCCCGCGCTGGTCGATTGAAGCTCTTGAGCAAAATCGATGGGCTCCTCGGTGAAGTAGTCGGCTATCCATTGCGAGTTTTCTGCCTCCTTGGCCTCCTCACCTTCAGGGCTCAAGGTGACGTGTCGGGGCTGGTTTCCGCCCCCGTACAAATCATCGTGCGCAAGCTCATCAATGGAAGCTTCGCGCACCTCAGCCTGATATTGACGTGGGTGACGTGGGAGATGCGGCGTGGCTTCCGAATTTTGCGTTTGGCCCTCCATAGATGGGTGATCTGAGAGCTGGCGAGCGGAGTTGCGACGGCATGGGAGAGGGGACGGGACGAGAACAAGGCAGACATGATGTGTGGGGGCCAAAAGCTGAACTGAAGGAAGAGTGAGAGTCAGACGCTAGTATGTGCATGCAGTTGCACATGAAGACCTCAGCCTCTCCGGGGTTCAGCTCGACTCCAGCCTAGCGTCTGATTTGGTCAGCTATCGTGCCATCCTGATTGGCCGCAAAAGGGGCAAGCGCGCCGTCCCGCCATGCTTCGAACATGTGTTCTCCATCAGTCTAATCGTAGATTCAAGAGCCACAAGTTGTAGCAGTCGTCATGTGGCACGAAAGATCGCGAAGTCATCAAACATAGCTATGAGATTTGAATTCAAGCCCAGATCAAGGGCGACAAGCATATTACAAAGGCTACTACTGTTGACGACAAGATGAGACAAGTCTGGACAAAGGAAACAATCTGCGAAGGAACATGCTGCAATATCCAATATCGTCGAGCAAAAGTATCCAACTGGTATCAAAGGGCCCCGTCAATGGGCGGCGGTAAGGCTAGGTCGTAAATCGTGATGGTATCGTAAGGAGATGGGGTTAGAGAATGTTTGCGCGATTAGTGGTGGCGGTGGAAGGTCGGTTGGTGAGGGTATACGTGTGCCAGCGTATGTACAATTGTTGTCAGAGTGGGTGTCGGGTATGTTGAGCAGTGGTCATCTGATTGTGAGAGGCTGCTGAGCTGGCGCGATGGGTGACGGTAAGAACGATTGGGGTTGCTGCTGCGTGTTGATGGCGGTGGGGGTCGCCTGCTGTATGCGTGTTTGTGGTAGCTCCTTCTTCTTAACCAGCAAGCTCTTGAATGCGCCGAGCCATTTGGCCAGCGAGTCTTCATTGGAAGCGCAGAATTTGTAGTTCTTCTCCTCAGATATGACCTGCATGCAGTACTGCTTGCTTCGCGAGACTGGGTCTATGTCGACAGCATCGATGATGCTGGAAAAGGGAATGATATGGGTCGCGGAGTATTCGTCGTCGTTTTTGTAAAAGGCAAGGCACTTTGGCCGCAGGACCACCCAGATCTTCTTCCACTGGCGCACGCCGCCTTTGGACTTGAGAACATATAGCCAGCCGTGGTAGACTACGCGCTCGTTGGTGGGGGTGGCGCCGATGTTGCTCTGCTGGCTCGCATTGCGCTGTGTTTGCGGCGTTCGCGGGAGAGACTGGGCGGAGGCTTGGTTGGTGTCGGAGAAGTCGAAGTCGGAGATGGAGCCGCGCTCGCCGCCGGAGTAGTTAAGGGCTTGCGAGGGACGCCGGGCGCTGTGCATGTGCTCGGGGGCGATGGAGCTCGAGGGCCTCGGCTCTGTCTCGGAGGAGCTGGAGACGATGTTTTCTCTGGCCGCGCGACCGAAGCCTGAAAACGTCTTCCTCCCGGTGGTCGGGCTCATGACAGTCATCTCGGCCTCGTGCTCGCCGATGCGCGCCTCGGTGCGTATGAGGTGCACCCACTCCTGGGCGTCCTTGTCGGTGGTTGCGCCGAGGTGGTAGTTGCGGGCGGGCGAGAAGATGCCAAAGACGTGCTCCATCTTCTTCTTCGAGTCCCGCTGGCGCGCGACGGCCGTGATCTCGGCGAGGTTGATCTGGTGGCGCAGCTTCGTCTCGTCCTTGTCCTTGTAAATGGAGAGGCAGTTGGGGCGCAGGACGAGGTAGACGGGCTTCCATTGCTGTGCACGTGTTAGTAGACGTCATGGCGTGCCTGTCGGCAGCGTGCGTGCATGCGTGCCTTTGTCTTGCGCGTGCGCTTCACGACGGTGCCGGCCTTGATGATGCGGTCGAACTCGAAGCAGCCGTTCTGGTTGACGGGCGACATGATGTCGACGCTGGCATTCGCAATCTTGAGGTTCTGTATATGGGGCGGGTCCAGCTTCATGCCAGCAGAGCGGATGGCCACGGGTTTGGCGGGCGTGTGCTGGCCGTCCAGTGTCGCTGCCATGTCGGCGGTGGGAGTCACATTCACGGACAGGCAGGCGGGGTCGATAGTGGTATGGGTGAAGGCAGGCAGGCGGGAGGCTATAGGGGCGTTGCGGTGCTCGAGCGCGGTCGTTATATCCAAACTGTTATTCAAGATCGGCAAGGGCGACAGGGGCGATGCATGGGCATGGGGCAGGCACGAACCACACCAGCAACGGCAGGCGCACAGGCTATAAGGACGTGGCCAGCACCAAGGCCCGAGTCGCAGTGGTGAGGTCAAGCAAAAGACCGGCGACGATGATCCCACGACTAACACGCACGCGATGCGACGCGACCGCAGGGTGGCCGTTGGGCGTCTGTCGCCGTCAGCAGGGTCTGATGTCAGGGTGCAGCTTATCCATGAGCCATAGTGACGCGGCGGGGTGGTAGCGCCTCTGTTTCATCCAAATCTTCAACGCCCATCCCAAACCACACAACGAATCTGTAACCTCAACCACTGCTGCATCCCCTCCACCCCTCCAATTTGCCCTTTTTGGCCTTCGCGCCTCTGATCTGCAGCGAAACGGCCTTGCCCGCGCCCGACTGGGTCACATCGACACGCGAAACACGACAACCGCCTCAGCAGTTTTAGCTCCGAGTCTCGACCACGCTCGCCCAGGATGCCCGTCGTTCCGAGCGACAAGCTGGTGTCGCTGCAGCAGGCGGCTGATGGCATCAGGAACATTTGCATCCTCGCTCACGTGGTACGTTGACTGTCCGCGTGACGGCGACATGTGCTGAATGCAGCAGGACCATGGCAAGACGTCCCTCACCGACGCCCTCATCGCCACCAACGGCATCATCTCCCCCAAGCTCGCCGGCAAGATTCGCTACCTCGACTCGAGACCGGACGAGCAGCTGCGCGGCATCACCATGGAGTCGTCCGCCATCTCGCTATACTTTTCCCTGCTGCGACGGTCTGCGCCCGAAGCACAGCCAGAGCAAAAGGAATTCTTGATAAATCTCATAGACTCGCCCGGACACATAGACTTCAGTTACGAGGTCTCTACAGCATCACGTCTCTGCGATGGCGCTGTCGTGCTCGTAGACGCCGTCGAAGGCGTGTGTAGTCAGACTGTCACAGTCCTGCGACAGACATGGATAGAGAAGCTGAAGCCCTTACTCGTCATCAACAAGATGGACAGGCTAATCACAGAACTGAAGATGAGCCCTGGAGAGGCATATACACATCTGAGCAAACTGCTCGAACAGGTAAACGCCGTCATGGGCAGCTTCTACCAAGGCGAGCGCATGGAAGATGACCTCCGATGGCGCGAGAAGATGGAAGAGAGACTAAATGCTGCAGCTGAGAAGACTGACTCAAGATCCTCATCCATACTAGAAAACGGCGACAGCATAGACACCACCAACACGCCCGCCGAGTACGAGGAAAAGGATGACGAGGACATATATTTCGCCCCAGAGAAGAACAATGTGATTTTCGGCAGTGCCATCGACGGCTGGGCATTCACGGTAAGACAGTTCGCCAGCCTGTACGAGAAGAAGTTAGGCATCAAGCGCTCCATCCTCGAAAAGGTACTTTGGGGCGACTTCTACCTAGACCCCAAGACGAAGCGCGTACTCAGCTCCAAGCATCTCAAGGGCCGCCACCTCAAGCCCATGTTCGTTCAGCTCGTCCTAGACAACATATGGGCCGTATATGAGGCCACCACAGGAGGTAACAACGGGAAGGGGTGCGTGGATTTCCTTCCCTTGCGTGATTTGTCTGCATGTATCATAGCAATATACTTATACCTTCCATTACAGAGATCCTGCCTTGGTTGAGAAGATTACCAAATCGCTCAACCTTAACCTTCCAGCACATATCATGCGGTCGCGCGACCCGCGCGCGCTCCTAATGGCACTCTTCGCAGCTTGGCTTCCGCTATCGACCGCCTTACTAGTCTCCGTCACCGAATACCTGCCTCCACCCTCGAAAGCGCAATCCGAGCGCATGCCTGAACTCATCGACAGCTCCCCGGGCGCCGACTACGTTGCACCAGGGGTGCGCGACGCCATGACTAGTTTCAAGGCCTCCAAGGACGATCCTGTCGTAGCCTACGTTAGCAAGATGATCTCCATACCCTCCAGCGAACTACCACAGAACAAACGAAGAGGTGGTGCGCTCACGGCTGAAGAAGCCAGGGAGATGGGGCGAAAGAAGAGAGCAGAGATCGCCCGGCAGCAGGCTATCGCCAACGGCGAGGATGCTGATGTCGGTAGTGTCACCGACGCTCTGAGCTCTGCCGCCATCGGCGAGACTGAGACGCCTGTCGAAGAGACACCAGAGCCGGACGTAGAAGCCGAGCATCTCATCGGATTCGCACGGATCTTCTCCGGCACTCTGAGTGTCGGCGATGAAGTCTACGTCCTCGGCCCGAAGTTTACCCCGGCCAACCCACACGCCGCTCCGGAGCCGCAGAAGGTCAAGATCACTGCGCTATATCTGATGATGGGGCGAGGCTTAGAGCCTCTCACAACTGTCCCCGCTGGTGTCGTTTTCGGTATCGGTGGGCTCGAGGGTCACATCTTGAAGTCGGGCACGCTATGTTCTCAGCTTCCCGGATCGCTCAATCTTGCTGGTGTTCAGATGGGTTCAGAGCCTATTGTGCGTGTTGCGCTCGAACCCGAGAACCCCTACGATCTAGACAAGATGATCAAGGGTCTGAAGCTCCTCGTTCAGAGTGACCCATGCGCAGAGTACGAGCAGCTGCCAAGTGGAGAGCATGTCATCTTGACAGCCGGTGAATTGCATCTTGAGCGATGCCTGAAGGATCTCAAAGAGCGATTCGCCAAGTGCGAGATTCAGGCTGGTGAGCCTATCGTACCATACCGAGAGTCGATCGTGGCTGCAACAGAGATGAACCCGCCAAAGGACCCCAACCTACCACGAGGAACTGTTGTTGGCGAGACAGCTAGCAAGCACGTTTCTGTACGCCTTCGAGTCCGCCCACTACCAGCTAGTGTTACCGAATTCCTAGGGAAGAATGCTGGTGCT